GTCGAAAAAAGCATCGAGAGATGGAAGACACACACATACACACACAGATAAGAAGAAACATTCCAATGGAACTACTAATCTACTGAAAGTTCAAGAACTGCAGTATAATGTTTTATTCCAGTTTAATCCAGTGGAAACCTGTTTTTTAAACAAACCTTCAAAGCTGGATCTAGCTTGGATTCACTTAATTATAAATCCCTTTATTAAAGATATCAAACGATTCAATTTTCTTTAGGGTACATCTCTGCAAATTTGGACTATTAAGTTATATGAAAATATATTTATTGTTAGTATTTTAATTCTTTTTTGTAAGAGTTACGTCATTTTGATTTCTTGAAATTAATTAGTATTTCTTAATTAACATGAATTAAATGAATTTTACAAATCCAGTGTCAGTAACTGTGTTATAGATTTTTTAACATCAGCTCCCCGAAAAGTTAAATAATGATTTTTGTGGTTATAATAGACGTACAAACGTATACACTCTTTGAAAGATTTCTATACAAAATAATAATACTTTATACTCTCATATTTCATACTTGCTACATGAATTACAACAAATGTTCATGCCTACTCAAAATAAATCACACTCTATCGCTATATTTTACGTAATATAAGAAATTAAAACAAAGTGAGTCTACGACAATCAGGCGTAGTAAAAAGTGTACAGATTAAAATTTTTTAAGTAAGTTACATTTACTCAGTAAAACAATTATGTGCCTGTTTAAAATCTTACATTTTACTCGTTTTACATGTTTTGGCTTCAATATTTGAGCTATCTTCAGCGACAAAAAAATAAAACATACAGCATTAGATGCGTTTAGGGAAACGCTATTAGTGCTATTTATATCATTCTATTCTTGTTTTACATCTAATAAACGATGAAGATAGAATGACATAAATAGTGCTAATAGTATTTTCCCGAACGCTCCTATTGTGTTAAATACTGTTTACATGATATAATTCACAATGGCACAAATTTAAAAATGACATTTAATTTTATAATTTTTCCAAAAGAACGATTTGCAAATTTTTATCTTTACATAAGTGTTATACGATAAAATTCATATAACAATCTCTTATCCTCGTGCGATAATCACGACACAGCGACAGATGCGTTTGACATGCATAAATCAGTGATCGATCTTAGCACCTACTGCAATAATCTCACCGGGACGATCATCAAACCACCTTTGTGCAGCATACGTATTAACTGAATCACGCCACTGTCTATGGCAAACGAGATCGAGATTGTAAAGGCAAGCGATCGCGAAGAGATAAAGGGCAACTCAGCTCGCTCGACCGCTCCTCATCGTCAATATCTCTCGGAACTCGCCGATTCTACGATCGATCGATCAAGCAGCGGGTGCCTTCAATTAGTCGGCGTAGTTAATTAATTTGATTCGATCGCAATTTACATAATTAGACACGCCGAGTGCGCCCTTCAGCTCGAAAGCGCCGTAATTGCCGCATCGAATGCGCACGCTTATGCCTACTGCAACTACGAATGATTACTAAGAGATACTTGCTACCTTCCTGCTTCTGCAGGAAGGATAGCATGAAACTACTCGACGAGTGGATCAAAGTGCGCTGATTGAAACGCACGAAACCGCGGTACATTCCGCGCATGTATAATAAGACGGTTAAGTTCGGCGAATTGACAGAGCAAATCCTTGCAAGTATCGTTAATACTATAGCGGCACTTCCTAGGTTACATCGTACGTTTCTATTATACTAATACAGCTAAATTGCAAACTACACGGATGTACGGCGTATTTTGTACGGTATTTCAACCTTTAATCAATTCGTGAAACAATTTTACTGAAGTAAAAATTGAGGACACATTCAGATTTGAAAATAATTTTGGGATTGGGGAATTTTTCGGATCATCAAAATAATTATGTAAGAAACTCAAATATGATGAACAATGCTGTAAAGCTTTGACATTCTACTAATCAGTTTGAGCATTCTACATAATATTTTGATAGTTTAACAAAATTATTTTCAAATCTGTATCTAGCTAAATTTTCAGATACTTCAGTGAAACTGTTTTTTCCGTAAATCTAATTAACTAGAATGACAACACGAATATTAGATTAATATTCTAATTTAATTCATTAAATAGAAAATTGATACAAAGTAACGGAACAAGTTTCTACTTTATTTGATTTTCTTCAACCGTCTATTACAATATTTCTATTAATCGTAATCAACTCATAAACCATATATATAATCATAAAATCAAATAAAATTAAATATTCAAAGTAATAATAAATATAGAAACGCAAATTATGAATACATTATAAATAAACTAGTGATATGAACTATAATAGAGTTAAAATCAATTTTCGTATGTCAATAAAATAAACTAGAATATTAATTTAATATTCTTATTGTTGCTCGATTTTGGCCCTAATTAATTAAATTTATTTATTTCAAATTTTCAATATTATAAAGTGGCTCAATGTTAAGAAGGTTAAGTAAAAAAGGAGCATACAGCCACACTCTTCGTCGTGGTTGAACTTGATATAGTATGATAATGTTTACAATCGGGGTGGATTGCTTAGAGTAATAAAATGGTTCCACACAAATTAAAGAAAAATACTAGACGGTCTGTTAATTCTGTCAAAAATCATTGCAAAATTGTTATATTGTAAAATGCGGATACCGAGGCGAATAATGCACAATAAGAAGCGAGAAATTATTACTGACTAATATTAGGAATAAATTTAAATTATGTAACTAGGTTTAAATAAATTTAGGTTTTTATTATTGTACTGAGGATGGTCAGATGGTGACCGAAACGTCTACTTTGTTGAATGTTTATCATTAATATATAACTTATTGACATCTCGAGCGTGGCTGTATGCTCCTTTTTTACTTAACCTTATTTATTTCATTTGTTTTTAATAAACAAGCATTGCTATAGTTCAATCTTTCCATTTTGTAATTGATAATTTAAAGCATAATTACTAGCAACAAAGTATTTAATATTAAAAATTAAAAGGTACAGAAGACTTTTAAAGTATCATTCTGTCAAATATTATTTTAAAAATATTATTTTAAAAAAACATTATTAGAATTCATTACTAATTTTTATATCTAACTATGTAAATCAATCTTTAATTTTGTTAATTACATAAAAATTGTCATAGTCAAAGACATGCACATCTGTCGAAAAGAAAGAAAAAAAGAAAGAAAGGAGAGAAGGAAATGTCGCCAAAACTAACATATCTAATTCTCGTCATTCGTCATCTGTCGACTCGCCGATTTTTCATAAAATACTCCACTCCGTTCGTCACAAAGCGCGGACGTGGCGTGTTTGAGAACTTACCCGCTAACGATAAACGACAATTCCTACGACGTGAGCTGCCCGTTCAGAGTCAGATTTCCGCGGCCGAATTTCCCTGACATGTCTCCCAGGGGCTCGGTGATTCCCCGCGACAAAGGGCAAGTCCGAAGCGAATACTTTGCGTCCGCAGGGTGGAACTCGAAGAAACGTGCTTGGCTGATGTGCGTACCTGGAACTTTTCAAGATATACTTCCGCATAAAGAGCTTTTCACGCTGACAATGCGACGCCGTCACAATGAGATCAGTATACTATGTCTGAAGGGGGCGGATGTTGCATCGTATATAAACCGCGGCATTAAAACGTCTGTAAGGCTCTATGGAAAAATGGGGCGAGGCGCGAAAGGTCGGTCGATTCATGGAGCAGTTGAATAGAGAATTGTATAGCCGTTAAACCATAAACAGAGTGCCAAATTACTCTTTGTATAAATAACAGTATTAATAAAAATCTCATATGTGTGAATAATAAATTACAACAAATGGGAAAGCGTGGGTAAAACTTTATGCGTAAATGACTTAAATTTTATAAATTTTTCTTTTCAAAAAAACGTAACATATAAATTGTCATGTTTGTATACACAGTTTGAAATATACTGATAGATAAAAAGATTGTAAAGAAATTTTTTAAAAATTATTGAAGGAAATAACAATTTAGTTGTAAAAGTCTAAAGACCGGAGCACACACCTTTGCATAACGCATAATGCATAAAGCATAAGAGAATCAATCAATCAGAATCTTTCCTTTTATGAAATAAAGAATTCCATTTGGTTGATTCTCTTATGTTTTATGCATTAATGCGTTATGCATTATGCGTTATACAAAAGTCATCTCCGGCCTTAAGATGCGTAACATTGTTTCTTCTTTTCAATTCTTTTCTATCTTATATGATAAAAATGATCGACTGTGCGAAATAATTCACACAATCTAGATCGATTTTCATTAAAGTTAATAAAATCACAGAAATTATTAAAAAAAATTTGTATATAAATTATAATATCTAAAAAAATGTTTTATAGTTTAAATATAAAATATTAATCTTGTAAATTAAAGATATAATTAATTTATTAAAATTATCAAAAAAAAATATTTTTTATAATATATCTTTTTTTTAATTCCCAGAATTAATACTCTACATAAATTACTTTTTGTCTCTCTCTATTTAAAGAAATGCATGTGCAGTCCACTGACGTATTCGGCGTGAAATGAATTCGTAAAATGCACTGAATGCATTAATCGTGCGGCGATCACAAGACTAATTTTTCAAATATCTTCCGTGCATTTATTATAGTTTCTTGAGATATGGTAATTTTATCAAGCAATCCAATCATTTTTTACTAGGTGCTAATAAGTAAGAATATATTATTTGATGTTAATAATTCATCTGAAAAATTGCTATAAGAATTTGATCTTTATGTAGATTGCTGTTGGCTATATGGTTGGGCAGTATCATTTTTTTGCATGTAAGTTTTTAAAAAAAGAAAACTGATATCACGTAAATACCATTTCGTTTTCCTGTATTTTAAAATCTTCTCTCGGACTTGTGGTCGGACCACAAAGCTGCCATGCTCGCAGCGTCGCAATATTTTTCAGTACCGCACGTTTTTATCACTCGACTGCAAGCACAATGAAATATCGACGACGTAACGTAAGCATGCACATAAGTTACTGCGTGTGCTCTGGCGGTAATCGCGAGCCCCGCGGTCATACGAAGAATTATTTGACAAGTAAATCGTCGCTGAGAGACGCACGTGTCACGGTCAAGAGCTGCATCCTGGCCATTTCTAGATTCGACCGATTTGCAGTTGAGAAAAAGCAGCGACTTGCAAGAGACCTGACTAAATAAATATTGTATTTATACTAGCTAAATGTAAATATATGAGGGAATCCTCGTAATATCTTTCATGACCAAATTGTATCAAAATCCGGAAAAACAATATTCCCGAAATATGATATTACAGTATTGAATATATAAATGCTCAGCTAAATATTGTATTTTACGCGCGCAATATATGTAGAAGATTGTACTTTACGCTGTGTAATAAGAAAAAGTTATGCAAATCGATTGATAATAAGTCTGTCGGCACTATGACACGCTCATGTTGAATTGATGGACGATTGAGCGCAATTCTATAGGATGGGAGTGCCGGTTCCGAACTCTTGCAACGGAAAAGGCGCATCCTGTATCTTGTCAACTGACAGTTGAAAATATACCGGGTGCCCGATCGAGTACTTAGGATTTTTCTCAATGCTTGTACGTTTTTGTCGATTATTTTACAAAAACTTAATATCTAGAAAGTAGTAAGTTTATAATTATTTAGTTTGAGTATTAATAGTTAAAAACTCTAAACAACGCTATTAATATTCAAAATAAGTAATTAATTACTACATTTTAGTATTACATTGGATTTTTCTAAGAATAATGTTTTCTCTATCTTAATGAAATTATTATTTAAAAAGTAGCAAGAAAAAAATTAAGTTTCAAAATAAATAGTTAATTATTACATTTCGATATTAAATTGGATGATGAATATTTGTTAATCTATCAATGATATTATTTCTTAAGGAGTACCAAGAAAAAATTAAGTTTAGATTGTGAGACACGCGTGCAAAAAAAATGATAAAATTATTAAATTTGAGACTTATTATAAATGAATTAATTAAAAAATTTATATTGCTGTTTTCGATGTCCTCTGTATATAAAAATATTTTAAGAGAATTACGTACCCTATTCCAAGTAAATTCTAATAAAAAACTAATGAGATCTAGCTGCGCTCTTTGTATCACGTTAATAATGCCTGTTTTTTTCTCGAGATTCTATGTACTCAAATAATGCAAACAAAAATAATTAAAAAGGAAAGATCCCTTTACTTTAATATGTTTTTTGTACAGCTCTTTCGCGCGCGCGCGCGCGCGCGTGTGTGTGTGTGTGTGTGTGTGTGTGTGTGTGTGTGTGTGTGTGTAGTTAGAAACATTCAATATTTTAATAAGAACATACACTGAGTAGCAATAATTCGATTACTAATTGTAATGAGTACTTATGAAACATTTCTCAATTTATCTATTATCAATTTAAAAAAATAGCAATTTAGTACCAAAATACCTACACTTTTATAAAATATTAAATTACTTTTAATCATTTATCAATCAAGAAATTATTAGTAAATATTTTAATAAGTAAAAATAACAGAAATTTCACGGAGAAAATTTTTTTTTAGAGTTTACCTTGAAAATATGATAGTCAACATTGTATTTTCAAGAATTTTAATGTAAATCTCTCTCAATCATTAATAAAACTACAATGCAGTATAAAATAAGTTTAATTAATTTTACTGAATTGCATGATAAAAATTTTGTAAATATTATATTGTATCACAATTATACTGAGAAAAAATAGCTTAAGTTTAAATAAATATTTATTTGAATACTGTCAACTAAACATTTACTTACAACAAATAAATATTTACTTAATAAAAAGAAGTGATTGTTAAATCAAATTAACGTTTTTTATGCCAAATAAATATATGTTTATATTTAATAAATATTTAGCTGCTACTATTCAAATAAACATTTATTAAAATTTAGGATATTTTTTTTCATTGTACCATATTTTCGAGATAAATTTTAAAACAAAATTCTCTCCGAATACAAACACAGATTTTAAAAATTGCATATGATCCGAAATGAAAGTGTTATCATATTAATTTAAAAAATTGCAAGAAAAAAATTTGTTAATTTTGTTTCGTTGAAGCATCGTTGATTCCATACCGCGTCATGTTTAATCGATGTCGTAACAAGACATACGTGATAATATATTCGGTGATGCGTGTACGCGCGTTCGAGGAACGGCTGCGTGCACGTTCCACGTGACATAGCAAATAGGTCGCAGCGATTCCATCGGATGCAGATAAAAAATTTATCCACCCACGGGATAGGTTCAGTCTAACAGTGCCTAAGCGCGCCCTTCGAACGGCAAAGTATATGCACCGTTTTCCCATGTAACCAAACCCCGATGATATCGCATTAACTCGCTCATTAAATAGATTACGAGCACAGGGATAGTACGTTACTCGACAATCGACCGATACTTGATAATCGTACGACGGTACTAACGTAATTACCCGAGACTTGTACAGGAAAGAGGAAGAGAAGTTTGTCAATAGGTGGATGATAAGCTATATAGCCTTAAGGCATTTATGTAAAACTAATAATATTGGAAACGACTTGTTCTTTAATAATGTTTAAAAAGATATATATGGAAAGAACGATTTGGCTGAAATATCTAAAAATTTAGCTAGATACAAATCTAAAAATAATTTTATTGAATTATTAAAATAATTAAGTAAGAAATTCAAACATAATGATTATGATGAATAATGCTGCAAAAAAGTTTAATCGTTTAATAGTTGTTGTAGCAATCAACTTAAGTGTCCTATATAATTATTTTACACAACAGTAGTCTAATAAAATTATTTTCAGATCTAATTAATTAAATTCAGTTAAATTTTTATCAGATTTTATTACAGAGTTTATAAATATTTTAAGGTTATATTTTTAAGATACTTCAGCAAAACTGTTTCTTTCGTATATAATTCAAATCTATTCTCATGATAATAAAGAAAATATATTTCCCAGCTGTCGAACTACATATTTTCTTTTTCACTTTTTTAAATATAGCAAGAAAACTTAATGTCGGTTCATCAGTCAAGTTCCAAATCTCATCTCGAGTGATGTAATGTAGTAAAATATA